TTTTCTATATCTTCTTGTTCACGGCTAATAATATATAGAGATAAAACCTCTAGATCGAGATAGATCCAATGTGAATAATAAAATAATAATTAACGCAACGAAATAAAATTTTTTATTATTGCTTGTTTATTTAGTAAATTTTGACATTTAAAATAAAACATACCTCTCAGTATAAACCAGAAATATCTATTATATTATTAATATTATTTTATTACTTTAGGCTAACAATTTAAGCGTCGACGCTTTAGTACGATTTCAAAGTATTTCAATTTAAATGAAATTATTAACTAATTAATAATTGACTTTTCAACGATTAGTCGTAAACATTGATCAGTCAATGAAACGAAAAATTTAATCAATTAATGCCCAACTCTAGTTTGATCTCCTTGAAGATACATACTCTTGTAGGAAATTTTTTCCCGCGCAGAAACGTCGGAAGATTAAGGCTAGCCAAAAGGATCGATACTTTTCTCATCGACGTTTGTGTGCGCAATGTAGATACACGCGACACCGACATTCGATTTCACGCGCGATCAATAAATCCTTCACATTAGCACGCGTTTTCACCAGTTTTTGCCAGCCGAGTCGATGAGACCCGGTCAATTTGCCAATCGATTGATTCGATCGATCATTTTGCGTCATCCTTCTCTTTTTGAATTCAAGATCTCGCATCGTATATTCACAAAAGCGGCTGATTTATGCCGCGGACATGCGAAATTTTCAATAAAAAAAGCTGCGGAAAGTGGTCTATGATAAATTGCACATAGTGTGGACAGTGAAAAGAACCGTCCGTTAGGAGAGATCATTTCTCGACGTCAGATCCATCGAGTCTGCAACGAGTAATCAGTAATTGCAACGTTTAAAAATTCTCTATAGTAACGCATTTTCATGACCATAGGTATAAGAGATCGTATCGCGTACAAGGAAAACGAAGGAAGCTTGTCAGACTTGAGAATTCAATTTCCCTTTTACGCCAGTTTCGTTCGAATTTCAAGAATTCAGCGGAAGGTATATTGGCGTCGACATCGAACACCGATAGAACGCATTATTGGCGAGATTCTTCCCAATTTGCTTGGATGTTCATGGAGGAACTAACATAACACTAGTTCAAAGTGTCGCAATGCAGGACGCGTTCGTTATGCTCTAGGCGATCTGTGACTTTCTGTGAATGTCCGGATAGTGTGGCGATGTGGTGTGCAACTTTCAAGATTGCGAGTGACGTCAATGTCTTTTGTGATAAAGGCATCCCGTGACCTCTTGCGGTCTCGAGTGGCAAAGTTTTCAAATGGCTCGTTACACCTACGCGATCAAACGAGACAGTTTTAAAAAGCAAGAGGAAAGCTCTTAAGACGAGTCCTCGAACCGTGTTAAACTTTCCTGCCAAAGAACTTCGTAAGTTCGTTGGATTTCCCGTGAAACGCAACAATCTCTGTCTTAAGGAAATTACGTTAAGCCTTGAGCAAATGTTGACCACTGCGATCGGGATTGATGCTTTTAAGGAAGGAAAAATGGTTACTTAATTTACAAAAACATGCAATTAGGATCGAGCAAAATTCATTAGATAGTGCATTAGATAGTGATGAAAAATGAACGAAAAATGGGACTCGAGAAAATAATGATTTAAACATCGATATACAGTAATAATCGTGACACAAAGTAAAAAGATAATTCTTCGACATTGATCGTATTATTAAATCACAAAACGAATATCATCGAAATGAGAAGAAGAAGTGCACTTACGGATTCGAATCGACTTTCTGTCTCGTCACCTGAAGACTGTCTTTTCCCGCTGGTGAATCGTGGCAACTCGAAGCTCGCAACAAAAAATCGCGATGCTAGCAAAAAGGAGGAACCGGTGCGTGCAATTAGATCGGCTTCGAAGTGTAGTTTGTTCTCGGGCACAAACGAAATCGTACCCTTTCGCAACAGAGGAGTGTCGTTTTCGCACTTGTTTACGATATTAATTACGAATTTACTTGCTGCTTGCTGTCTACGAGGCTGAGAGAAATTGTGGAGAGAGAAGGGTGAAGCATCGAAAGAGAGCGAAAAGTGGCTAAAAGCGGAGGTCTAATGTACGGTGTGTTAGTTTAATGTTTAATACACGCCTCGAAGTCAAAGTACACAGGGGGTGGAGGACGAAAGGAGTGTGGGAGTAAAAGAACGGCTAAAGTGGTCAGGGGTGATAAACGCGAGGATTTCTACGACCGATTCAACGCGTCTACTAAGGATCAAACGGGCCAGTGTGTCAAAGGCTCGATGAACGCGCGGACATCCGAGGCTCGTTTACGGTTTCACCGTTCACAAGTGCTCCGTTTGTATGGTGATTCATGCGTACGCGCCCTTTGGCAGCGCGCATAATGCTCACGTCGTTTGATTCGCGATTAAACGAGTCCGCGAGAATTTTCGAAGGAGCTGGAGGAAGCTTTGGTCCAGCGAGTATTATCTCGAGAGCGATATGACCTGACGACCTGCTCGCGCGGACTCACGCTAGACGACTGCATGCGATACGATTACGCTGCCAGAGCCACCCTCTGCCACCCGTTTGGTACTCCCACCAGGTCCCGACCACGCCAAACAAGCCGATCGTCTTCCTGTCTTTCACGTTTTTTTTCCATTCTTCTATCGACAGTCGTCCGTCCTGCTTTTACTTTTGCCATTGACTTTGCCATGCTACCACTTATAGGCGACCGCAATCATCTTTGCAATTGTACAATTATAGCCTCGAATGTTTTCGAGGATTATACTTCTAGGAAATAAGCATTTGAGAAATGCTGGGAATTAATGGAACATGAATCCATTGTAAATTTCATCGAATTTGAAGGATAAGATACAACGATTCGTTGACTCGAAAGAATGTCGATTACCTCGGCTCTATGTTTTTCGAAAAAATTGAATCGTTAAGTTCAAATTTATCATTGGATTTTATATCACTCTGAATTTTTCTAATAATTACAGTCCATTTGTCATCATAAAGAAGTGCTCTTGTCTGTACTGGACGCTCTTGAAAATCATTTACTCTCGGACGATTTATGGTCGATAAGAATGGTAATGAGGAGAGAGGACCATCTACTTATTAATTGAATGAAATCGCACTTTTGGACAAGTCAATCATGCTTCTGTTGTGTCAACGGAATTCGACGTTTAGAAAATATCTCCTCATTCTCTCGCGGTAGTTCAAAATGATCGAATGAGCACAAAATTTAATCCGTGTAAAAGATCAATACAGTTCATAAATTTGTATGTATCATATGACGAATCAACAGAGAAGTTAATTTAATTGAACAAGTTATTTGGATGGCAGCAAGTTTCAGTTTAGGATGAAGAGCTTAGCGTATCCATAACATCATTTATTGTTCAATTATAAGTATTTGGACATTAGAATTTTGCCATTTACTGATTTACGATGGCTTTCGGATCAGTGGGAAAATACAATGATGGACAGATTGGAAAAAAGTAAAAATGGTCATGTATACGGAAAAGTTTACTTTCCGAAGGGATGAGAACAAGAACAACATCCCCACCTCGTTGACCCAAAGTACAAACAGCGCGCAGTGACATTGCCGCAGCTGGGGAACTTCATATCTATTCGTTCGTTCCACCAATAAAGAGGTACAAAAGCCTAGCATCGAAGGGACGTTCGCGCAAGCGCTAATAACTTTGGCACCAACCAGGGCCAAAACGATAAAAATTTAAACACTGGCGCAGATTTATCAGCTTTCGAATTTGATAAAAAGAACGCGTGGAGAAACGAGCTAAGATGAAAAAGTTGAAGTTAAACACATACCAATGATTCACCTTGATCAACATATATATGTATATGTAAACATTTTTTGTTAATTTTATCTAAGAAATTTTCTTACTTTTCATGTGATGGTCGTTTATGAACATTTAGTTCGTAGAATTTAAATTAGATCGTGCGTTAATTGAAATTTAAATTACTGTTTCAGATGAATGATTAGCACTTGTGATAAAATGTGACCGCTATGAACGGAATGATTATTAGTGTTATTAATGAATCGATAGGTCGATATCAATATGCAGAATAAATTTCTGCAAGGTGGGCAAAACAGTGTAATTTAAAACAGTATATTATTTTAATCAAAATAACATACCACCATTTTCAAAAAAATGATATATATTTTATAATTATAGGACTGAACATATTCTCTTTCGCGTACAAAATTTGATATCTTATCCTACATTGCGTTTTAACTTTAAATATTATGTGTTTTTCTGTAAAACTGACTATTTCAACTTGTACTCTTTTGCGCATCAATTAGATTTTTGTACAGAGTATACAAAAAAGTTGGGGGAAAACTTTTCGTAGTATTCATCAAAAATCAGCAAAAAAGTCTTGAACATGAACCATTCATTTCGGCGTTACGAGGTGCTTTTTCTTTTACAGAATATTTTTAATATACCTTCATTTCAAATACACGCTTCGGCACGTTTTCTCATAGAAGCATTCATATACGTTGGAACATCTCCGGTATTTCTCTTACTTCTTGACAGCAGTTTTCGACTCATTGTGTCAATTCATTTATCTGCAATTTCGGAATTTTATAGCTGAAGAACATTCATGTACGCACGTAAATATTAAATAATCATACATTGAATGATATCACATGTTTATTTGTATAATACTACTATGATTGTATTTGTTTTTCTTTCAATAGATTCTAGATAAATATGGAATAGAATCTGTTACTCTTTTTTACTTGTTTTGATGAATACTACATGCTGCTAACGTTTTTCCCCAACTTCTATGTATACTCTCTATATATCGCGTACAGCACACGATATATACATAATATATAACAATTGAATTATCTGCTTTCATTTATTACAATTAAATTATTTTATAACTTTCTTAATAATTTACATATTGTATATACGTCCGTGTAAGCAAGAGTACATTTTTCGAGCATGTGTACACATATGCATATATTCTTCGTGAATGTACACTTTTCGAGCACGTACATGGGTATAATTTTCAAGCATATATAAGTACATACACATGTATATGTGTTCTTCGAAGCGAAAGAGTTGATGAATTTTGAAGCATAATTTCATTCCTGATAAACTAATGAATAACGTTTGTACGAGCGAAGGCTCTCTATGCTCATTATTATACAATTTCGAAAGTTTATCACTCAATTTACGAACAATTGATAAATATGTAAACGAAACTGATTATATATCAAACAATGAATTTCTACGAGAACGAAACTACTGTATGGTTTTAAAGAATTCAGAATGATTCTAAAGATTTGCCAAAGAAAATGTATTATAACTTCGTCGATTATTGTGTTCAACACCGTTTAATTTGATTTACTTTAAATCCATAAACATAATTTTTTAACTCAGGGTTATTTACGCAATCGTAATATGACAATCATAATCATGATTTACAAACCAAAAACTCCTTTTGTTTGTAGAACATCTAATGAATGTTCTTCGTCATGTAATATGAGAGTTATAAAATAATCGAACTGGAAATGTGATTAAAAGAATTCTGACCTTTTGTTTTGAAAAGAGATCGGTATTGTTTCAATCCAATTTCGGCAAGCCATTGATCTGCTTCGGTGAGATCCCCGTTGTTTCCATTTCCGGTGGCAAGCATCAGAAGTTTGCCAAGGGACAATATCATCGTAAGGGCCAGGAATACCCCTGATAATACAGTCGACCATCGTGCCATTTCCTGATGAGTGCATCTTTAAAACGAACATTGATACATTATGTTGACATACCACATGTATTCATATATACGTACAGTTAATAGGTTAAGTATGATTAAGAATTGAGGTTATGTTACCATGGTGTTTGTAAACAAACTATATCGAGGAATGTAACTAGCGGTATTTTAAATTAATCGGCTTACCACATTTTCATAGAGCTAATAATCGGTATGTGATACGATTGACAAAATCGTGCTTGCCCAGTTTTACGCTTTAAGAACTTAAGGACGAGGATAACTGTAGATGGAGTGACAGGTAAACAACACTATAACTTCCTAGGGACTTTGTGCGCCGGTTTTTTAATGGACCTGAAAACCAACATGCCAATATTAAATCGCTTCCTTAACAATAGTCGATATCACAGACGATTATCACTTGACCCTCTTACGATTTTCGTGTCACATCCTGTCATATCGACTTAGGTAAAGCATAATTGCACTACAGCGCTATTAGTGACAGAAATGCAAATAAAAAAATATGGACGCCGTTTCTGCATCGAAAATTATTTAGTAAATTGAATCCGGTGATGCTATTGCGAGCAACCATACATATATATGTACATATAATAATCATAATAAATAAATGCAAATTATTTAAGTAACTTTGTACACATTTCAACAATAATCTGACATTCATTGTGCAAGAATTAATATAAAATATAAAATAGATGATTTTGTACGATGAATCATGTAATTGACTATTATTATATTTAAAGGAATTGCGGTTCGTCCAAATCGAAAGCTCGGATTGAATTACTCGTTCAGTCCCTCTTGCTGATCGTTGTTTTGTTTGACATAAAGCAACAGCTTATCTTTTCTGAAGAATTGTCCTCAGCGTGTGTTTATGCCTTTCCTACCACGTAAAGATTCTATAGTATATTACGCAATTTCTTTAAAATTTTGTCAAAAATTTAACGATATGTTTTAGCATACTTTATTGAAATTTTATACGAATTCAACATAACATTCTCATTGAGTTCTGCTCATTCTCATTTTCTTTCCGATTGCCTTCATCATGAGTGTATTGTGCAGAATGACGTATTGTGCAAACAGTTAGGATTCCTGACGAAAGCATGATTGCCAATCTAAAAATTTGACATGGTTGCCACATTTTTATTCATCTTTCACCGATTGGTCCTGTCCATGAAATGATGAAACTAGTAAAATAAAGTGGCTGCATGATTATTCGTTATCTCAGAGTCTTAGATATTCGCTCGAGCTCGATCGAAAATTATCCGATTCGATTCAACTCCGAAATATCAAATATTTTTATTCGGGTAATTTGAACACATTTTTAGAATAATTAAAATGCAAGCCTTATTATAATTTCGTAAAAAGAAAAATCATTTAATACTTTATTTGAATTCATTTTAAAATATAAAGCTTTAATTTGTTTTCCTTTTTTGAAGATATTTTTACGTTATAGCAAGTGAGAAATTAAAGAAATTTCGAAAATTGTAAAAATTCAAATGTTACATTGTAAGGGTATAATTAAGAATTATATTTTGCAGTTTCACAGAACTATTTATTTGAACAAAAGAAGATTTCCACTTATAGATATAAAAATATTATAATACTAGTTTATGCTTGCTGCAATGCTAAACTATTTCTGTCTGTGGATCCTTTCTGCTATGCTTATATATTCTTTCCTGTTGGTACTTTGATTTCTGGTCAAAGGACGACTCGTGCATGACTAATTCCTAACAACGTTTTTAAAAATATTTTAAAATTGAGAATTTTTTTCATGACTGAAAATCCACCATTGTCCAGAAAATTCAAATTTTTTCTTTTTCAGTCACATTTTAAAACTTGCTGTACAATTTTTTTGCCATTCTATTGAACTTAATTATTAAGAAGATGAAATATTAGGATTTCTCGAATTTTTACCATTACCAGAACTCGAAAATTTAATCGTTCGGCTTTTACAATATCTAACACAAATATAAAAGATAACGGAAGACAAAAACATGGTATAAAAAAGATCTCTCTTTTATCGACCGTTGGAAGTTCCTTTTACCGGCCGTCAAGATTGCAACCTAGCTGCTGCTATCTAGCGGAGAAAATGTATCTAAGCTGGGGCGTACTCGTTTGATTGCGTCATAAGAGAAACTGATTTTCCTACGTAGTCAGCCATATTGACTCGCGCGTAAGAACATCGAAAGCAGTTCCGTATTTGCTGTGCTCGCGATTTGAATTAAAAGTGCGCCATAATCACGGAAGTTTTCTAACTGAGCTACATTTTTTCCATGAGCTGTGATTACTCGTCGTGCATAGAATTCAGGAATATTAAGGTACGTAAGCAGTAAATATTTGTATTCGCAAGGGGACTATTTGAAAATGGTGCGAGTATGGGCCGTGGTCGCATTCAGCGTCGCCCCGCGATTCGACGGACCTGTTTCGTATTCGTAGTTGTCGGTGGAATTGGAACAAGAGTTGTTTACGTGCTTATGGTAGGAAATAATTCGTTATTGACTCGAGGAAAAAATAATTAGTGCTTGTAAACTCTGTGTATATTTTCTTCTTATTGTTCTTTCATTTCCGATTTTCTTATTAGTGGTGTCTTATTTAAGAAAAGATCGCGTCTACATTCTATAGGTAAGTTTACTAGTTTTCAGATTTCACCTATTACCTTTCGCGATACACAGTGTAACAGGGCATTTTGTCCATTTACTTTGACAGTACTAAATTGTTTCGAAATATTAAACATGAAATTAATATCAAATATTTGTGATACACCTTTCAATTTAATGACGACAGATTCAAATGTATGCTTTTAAATACCAGTGTTTACCGTCGTTTTAAAGATATACATGTATACCAACTCCAATATAGTGATTCAATACAGTGATTCAATTTCTATCGTTTTATTATGGGCATATTAAGGAATTTTCGTGTGAAATTTGGTATAAGAAGAATGCGTATTATTCACATAACCTCCAGCGATGTCAAAGTATATGATAGAAAGGATAATACTTTATCTATTTTATAATCATTATATATAATATGTGGTATTATATGCATATATACATATATATCGCAATCAACAATACACGGAAACATCTGTTTGATTCGGTTGATAGAAATTTCCGATACAATGTTTATATATATACACAATCGCTTGTGTTTTTCATCAATTGCATGAATATTACGCCGTACAGCATGTGAGACAGTGTATTGTTTAATACCAAAGCTATTGATCTGTGTACTACACGGGACAACTGCAATTGTAGTGATTTCATGGAAATAAACAAGTATATACGATTCTATTTCCATTTGAACAGAAATCAATGTTAACTTTTGTCAAATGCATTTGTATATTTCCCGTGACTGCGAAGACCAACAGTTCTGTCATTTTAACAAATTCGATGCGTCTGCTGTTAAATCTGCAACGAAGTTTACTAAGTTTGTTAAATCGTAGGTACATTGGAACTTCATTGTTTCACTAGGACTATTTGGATCGAAGAATTATATGCGAGAATTCTGATAGGGACGTGGAATCAATAGAGCCAAGATCGAACGGATTCTTCAAATGCATTCTTTGCGTGCCGTGTATCATATCTCGTCAGGAAGACTATCATCCATTCTCTCGCAGAGTTGCGGTATGAGACGCGCAGAATCCGTCGGAAATCGGAGAAATTATCTCGTCGCTGGAGAGTACCGAGTGTGTAACCGACGAATTTCGAACAACACCGTACAATTTATTTCCATCGCCGTATCGTTTCCTCTTTTACGTCCGGGCCTGAGGATAAAGCGTTTTTCCAAAGTGTGTCACTTGGTACATACTTACTTTGCCGTACACGTTCTCTCTTTCTCCTTTGCTCTTTCTTTGCACTTTCTTTGCACACTCGGTATATATACATTCGCTCAAACGCGATGATTTCCAATGTTCTGTCAGACTTGGCAAATTCTCTAATAAATTATTAACTCGAAAGTATTATCGATGCGTAGAGAGTATAGATTCATCTAGAATATATTGTGGAATATTATGTATAAGTATAAATAGCATGTAGTATTTATAATTCCCAGATTATTTAATTTTTAAGGTGTTGGCTTGAAAGTCTTCTTCTAAATTGGTAGAAAGATTATGGTAATTAATTCAAGCATAATGCAAATACTCATTGAAGTAATCGTGAACAACAATACAAACACACACATACACACAATGATCTTATAGATTTTTTGAGACAGGAGCAATATGTATGATCTCACCTTTTACGAGGTTTATTCGAGCTTCGAGATTTCGTCATTTTTCCGGCGAACGCTTGTTACGAGCAATTAGGTCAATTACGCACTTTGTCTCAGAGATGCCAACTTTTTTTGAAACATGCATTTCTAGCTCTTGCCAGTGATCGATCAGTTTCTTTCTGTATTTTAATCCGCATGCATACATACGTTCTCTGCAACGACAAACTTTAGCCAGCTATTGTACTTTGTATATTAGAAAATTCCCTTCGTATTCTCTGCTGGAGATTATTCCAATTTACATAACAATACGACGTTAAAGAAATATTTCAGTCATTGTGAGATCGTTTCGAGTTGCACGTAGTAGCGAAGAGCAGCCAATAACGTACATGTATGCGTGCATAGATTTAACCAAGTATAGATTCCAGTATGTATTTAGGATTATTGCACACCCGTTAACCAGGGCAAGGAAGTGTACTCACACACAAGCGATGCGTGTAACGATGTTGATAGGAGGTGATGCACGACATGACCAAAGTTACAATGAACTTGGGGGACAGCTTACACACTGGTGTACCATAAATACAGAAGTTCGTGAACGTGAAATGTGACATTCGTACTTCGACTACCTAGCTCCTCCAATTAGTCACAAGTCGACAGATTTTTTAGTTATGTACACACCTTGTGTAACATTGTTGAGAGAGGTTGGGATAGCTCAGTCGGTAGAGCATCAGACTCTTAATCTTGAGGGTCCAGGGTTCGAGCCCCCCTGTTTGGGCGAAAAACGTTAGAGGCAACATATGAAACCAAAGACAGTGTGTTGAAAATAGAATTTGATTACATATTTGGAATTTGGAGATACTTGTCCAAAAAATTCAACACATAACATACGTATGGATGAACATTCAGAAAGAAAAAGTTTCCTAGTAGCCTGGTGTTTGAAATTTATCAATTTGTTATTACGTTAAGTAAATAAATAGCCTACGCTCGAAGAATGAGTAGCATTAACCAGTATCATTGTCAAACATCTTTATCGATGTGTTTATTGATATTCGTGTTATTCTTATCAGGAAATTGTCCAATAGAAATTGAAGAATGTCGTGCTAGTTGAAGTATATCGTGCGATATACATATGGAACAGTAGTAACCGTGCCAGGCGTATCACACCTGTTAGCAGCGTAGTAGCGTATATACTCCGCGTGGTTGGCCGATTCACGTAAAATTTAATTGTACGGTTGGCTGGCACTCGCGTAGTATGTATATCTGCCTTCCGTGAAGCAATTCGCCGGAAGTATCGGCGCGATCGCCACGCGAAAGAAACGCGGAAGATAAAAGCGAACAAGGCGTGGCTATTTCTGATTTACAATCGTCACGTGTTCCATTACACTACGATTGGCATTGTAATATCCCATCAACTTCAACAATTTTGTAATAAACCTTCTCGTACAATATCCAAAGCAGCACACGGAGCAACAATCAAGCGCTTAACTCTTTGTCATTGAAGACCATAACAATTTAGTTTCAATAATTTAGAATATTTCAAATTCTATTAAATGAAGAATTCCATAAAGCAGGTGATCTAAACGCGATAAGCAAGTAATTTAGAAATCTAACTTTGTCCAAACTGTTAACTCCTAAATGCACAGCATTGTAAATTTGCCACGTTCTACACTGTTAAATCTAAATGTATGTGATTTTAAAAAAAATTACGTATTTGAAAGTTAATTGCGTCTCAATTGCAGAGAATATAAACTACCAAATAGAATTAAATGCCCTAAATTCTTATAGTGTAATATAAATTACTATAATCACGTATAATCCAAGAGATACAACTTTTAAGGATTAAAACGATTCATATTCTATCACTGGACGTTTTATGGATTCCGACATTCACAGAATATATATCATACGTTTAAGAAACGCTTGTAT